CAGGTGCCAGTACTGAACGAATTTGTTCCCATAAGGAATATTGTGAATTAGATTAGTCCATTTCAGACCCCCAAACATACACATACAAACGCACTTATATAAATACACTTACATAATTGGTCGCATTGGGAGCTGATCGTAAAGCAGGGGTCCACTGTATTTATAGATGGGGTTGTAAGAGAAGTAAATGCGAGGGTCTTGGAAAGAAGCGTGGAGTTAAAAGATAAAGAATCACACAAAGTGGGAGTTGTCACAGTTGCTCTTTGCTGATGACACTGTGCTCTTGGGAGATTCTGAAGAGAAGTTGCAGAGGTTGGAGGATGAATTTGGTAGGGTATGCAAAAGAAGAAAATTAAAAGTGAATACAGGAAAGAGAAAGGTTATGAGGATAACAAAAAGATTAGGTGATGAAAGATTGTCTATCAGATTGGAGGGAGAGAGTATGGAGGAGGCGAATGTATTCAGATATTTGGGAGTGGACGTGTCAGCGGATGGGTCTATGAAAGATGAGGTGAATCATAGAATTGATGAGGGGAAAAGGGTGAGCGGTGCACTTAGGAGTCTGTGGAGACAAAGAACTTTGTCCTTGGAGGCAAAGAGGGGAATGTATGAGAGTATAGTTTTACCAACGCTCTTATATGGGTGTGAAGCATGGGTGATGAATGATGCAGCGAGGAGAAGGCTGGAGGCAGTGGAGATGTCATGTCTGAAGGCAATGTGTGGTGTAAATATAATGCAGAGAATTCATAGTTTGGAAGTTAGGAGGAGGTGCGGGATCACCAAAACTGTTGTCCAGAGGGCTGAGGAAGGGTTGTTGAGGTGGTTCAGACATGTAGAGAGAATGGAGCGAAACAGAATGACTTCAAGAGTGTATCAGTCTGTAGTGGAAGGAAGGCGGGGTAGGGGTCGGCCTAGGAAAGGTTGGAGGGAGGGGGTAAAGGAGGTTTTGTGTGAGTAGGGCTTGGACTTCCAGCAGGCATGCGTGAGCATGGCTGACAGGAGTGAATAGAGACAAATGGTTTTTAATACTTGAAGTGCTGTTGGAGTGTGAGCAAAGTAACATTTATGAAGGGATTCAGAGAAACCAGCAGGCCGGATTGAGTCCTGGAGAGGGGAAGTACAGTGCCTGCACTCTGAAGGAGGGGTGTTAATGTTGCAGTTTAAAAACTGTAGTGTAAAGCACCCTTCTGGCAAGACAGTGATGGAGTGAATGATGGTGAAAGTTTTTCTTTTTTGGGCCACCCTGCCCTGGTGGGAATCGCCCAGTGTGATAATAAAAAAAAAAAAAAAAAATTGGATATCACATCGGAGAGAGGAAGTATGCAAGAAGTGAATGTTTTCAGATATTTGGGAGTTGACTTGTAAGCGGACGGGTTTATGAAGGATGAGGTTTACCATAGAACTGATGAAGGAAAAAAGGTGAGTGGTGCGTTGAGGTGTCTGTGGAGACAAAAGACGTCATCTATGGAGGCAAAGAAGGGAATGTATGAAACTATAGTGGTACCAACACTCTTATTTATGGGTGTGAAGCTTGGGTTGCAAATGTTGCAGCAAGGAGGTGGCTGGAGGCAGTGGAGATGTCCTGTCTAAGGGCAATGTGTGGTGTAAATATTATGCAGAGAATTCAGAGTGTAGAAAGTAGGAGGAGGTGTGGAGTTACTAAAAGTATTAGTCAGAGGGCTGAAGAGGGGTTGTTAAGGTGGTTTGGTCATTTAGAGAGAATGTATCAAAGTAGAATGACTTGGAGAGCGTATAAATCTGTAGGGAAAGGAAGGCAGGGAAAGGGTCGTCCTCGAAAAGGTTGGAGGGAGGGGGTAAAGAAGGTTTTGTGGTTGAAGGGCTTGGACTTCCAGCAAGCAGGTGTGAGCGTGTTAGATAGGAGTGAATGAAGACGAATGGTTTTTGGAACCAGATGAGCTGTTGGAGTGTGAGCAGGGTAATATTTACTGAAGGGATTCAGGGAAACCGGGTATTTTTATATAGCCGGACTTGAGTAATGGAAATGCTTCATAATTTTTTTCTAACATGTGAGCAGGGTGACTCCCCCCCCCCCCCCCCCAAAAAAAAAAAAGAGGGAACACATTCACCATTGTTCATTCATTCAATTGCTGTCTTGGCAGAAGTGTGCTAACATTTCAGTTTAGATAAAGGGGTACCTTCAGAGTCCAGGCACTCTACTTTGCTCCTCCAAAACTCAAGTCTAGCTAACTAGTTTCTCTGAATCTCTTCACATATGTTACCTTACTCTCAGTTCAACAGTACATCAAGCCATAAAATCCATTGTTATTTCTATTCTCTCCAATCTAATGTACTGATACAAGCCTGTTGAATATTAAAGCCTCTAGCACTCAAAACCTCATTTATCCCATTTGCCCAACACTCCCAGAGACACCTCCCTACACCTCCTTCCTTCCACCCAGGATTTATATACTCTCCTAGTCATCCTATTCCTCTCCATCCTCTTTAAATGCTCAAACCACCTGTTAAGATATATTATATTAACACCATACATTGCCCACAAACATAACATCTTCACTATTTCCAACCTCCCATGCAGCCCATGCAGCACACCCATGTGAGTGCTGCACCACTCTACTTTGGTACATTCTCCTTTTTGTCTCAAAAGACAAATACCTCAAAACACCACCTACCTTTTTACCCTCATTTTTTCTATGGCTCACCATCTTTCAAAAATCCATTTGTCAAAAAAGTGTACAGTGGAACCCCGGTTTTCGTATGCCCCAGCTTGCATGTAAAACCACAGTTATTCTCCATAAAATGTATTTTTTGCTAATATTTTTGGGTGTCTGGAATGGATTAATTGGATTTACATTATTTTTTATGGGAAATATCAAAAAATACATTTTATAGAGAATAACTGTGGTTACATGCAAGCTGGGGCATACAAAAACTGGGGTTCTACTGTATTCCTAAATATCTGAATACATTCACTTCTTCTATACTTCGTCCCTTCAATCTTATATCCAAGGTCTCATTGCCTAGACGTTTTTGTTACTCTCATCATCTTGCTTAATTTTTATGTTCACTTTTAATTTCCTTCTTTTACATATCCTCCCAAATTCCTTCACCATCCTGGAGGTTATTCCTGGAGGTTATACCTATGCAACTTCTCTTCAGAATTTCCTAAAAGCACTGCCATAGGCAAAGAGCAACAGTGAACTCCCATGTTACATCAGATTCATTATCCTTTAACCTTTTAAGGGTCCATCCCATAGTTCTATGGCTTTGAGGCCCAGGTCCAAGCCATAGTTCTATGCCATGAGCTCAGCTCACTCTGATAAGCTGTGAGTGGTAAATCTGGGCCTAGATATGAGAGAATGCATGTATGTGGTAAGTGTGCACTATATAAAACAAATCCTGTTGCAAGTAGTGCATAATGAGAAAAAAACAGACCGTGTTTTAGGATTAAAATACAGTAGTGACTTTGAGGTGCATTTTCATGTGTATTTTACGGTTGTATTTGCAGTTTCTTGGTCTCATCTGATAGAATTGAAGATATATTACAGAAATAGAGATGATTGTGATTGGTTTTCATGCTGAAAATGACTTGAAACTGAGCTCAAAGTAGTGGAAATGTTCGATTTTTGATGATATTCAAGAGAAAGCAAATGATGTCACGCATCCAATACATGTCAGCTGGTGGGTCTAATGTGCATTCACGAATGTGCTGATATTATTTCTACAATTATTACAATATTGCATAATAGCAAATCTTCTATTTTTGGTGTGAATATAAATTCATTATATGAATAAAAAATCAAAATGGAATTCATTTGTAAAGCCTGGAAATGTAACTAATAAAAAGAGGAAATGTTATTTAGTGCCAGGAATGCCTGCAATGTTTATTCTGGACCCTGTTTTGAAATTGGAATAGTATTTTGAAGTCGTGTGAAATTGGCCAAATTTCCAATTTTTGATCACTTTATTGGGTAATTGACATAGTTGATTGGGTGATTTCTTGTGCTCAATCAGTAAAATTGAAGTAATGCTGACAAAATAGCTAAGAATTTGGTCAGCTGGAATAATGTAATTGGCCCAAAATGGGAGTCAAAGTGTGCAAAATTGCCAATGCGTACATATCACTGATGCAGCAAAATTCGCGAGAATGTAATTTCATCAATTTTCCATCAAATTTTGTACTTTTTGTTTTATTACCTCCAGAAAAAGATTCTCTACCATTTCATAAGAAAAAATAACAAAAAATTTTTTTTGAAAATTCTTGGAGCCTGCGGACAAGTTTCAGACTGGGGTTCCGGACCCTAAAAGGGTTAATCCCACACTTTAATTTAAACACTTTAGTATTAACTTTTTTTTGTTTTACAATCCCTCATGGTGACATCATGAATCCCTGTCTAAAGCCTACTTTTACTGAGAAATAATCCCCCCCCCCTTCTCCTACATACCAAAATCTGAGCCTCACTATTTGTATAAAAGCTCTTTAATTCTTTTACTAACTTACTACCTATTCCACAGATTTGCAACATCTGCTACATTACATCCCTATCCACCCTATCACATGCCTTTTCTAAATACAATAATGTGACAAACAGCTCCTTACCTTCATCTAAATAGGGTTCATTTGTATGCTTCAATGCAAACCCTTGGTCTTCACATTCCCTACCCTTCCTAAATCTTCCTTGTGCCTCTTCAATCCTACTGTCTATCTTATCCCTAACTCTTTTGGTAATAATTCTTCCATACGCTGTACCTCGTACACTTAAACTTATTCTCTTACAATTCTTACACTCTCTTTTATTCCCTTTTATCTTAAAGAAACTATGCATGCTTTCTTTTAAATTTTTAGGTACCTTTTCTTTCATACATACATTGAACTCACCAAAATTATATCCCCTCATGTATTTAACATATCTGACTTACTTCCATCTGTCTCAGATGTTGTACCCCCTTTCACTCTACCTACTGCATCATGCATCTCCCTCAAGCTTACACATTAAATACATAAAACACAATCTCCTCACCCTGCACTACAAGAAGTATTAGCCTCTTGCAAGGCTCGGTTAAGAGCAGGACTGTGGTTGACAAGGAGCGGCTCAAGATGCTGAGGCAGCGTCATCAAGTATTGTCCTATCTGAAGGAAAAATAAAAAATCAGAATCTTGAATGTAAAAAATCACACTGATTTTTACTATCAGGGACTTGTTTCTCGTAGATGTTGTAGATCCATTACACATGAATCATTAAGTCACATTTTCTTTCAGAACATTTTTCTACCCAGTACAAACAGTAGCCCATGACCTAAAAGCGATTGCCTTCGTGAAAAATGGAATAGATAATAAAATTGTATAAACCCAGGAGTAAGTAGGTTGCCTCCCCAAGACCCCCAATTAAACACATTATTATTATTACATTCAAGGGGCAGCACTAAACCTGTAGGGTTCATCACTACCTTGGGAAATGGAAGGTTCGAGTCAAGGAATTGGAGCACTGATCCAATTCCTTATATTAAAGTCCCTCTCCAGCCAAATTAAGTGCACAGTTCTTAGAAATGTAGAAAATGAGTGGTGGGTCCTGGTGGGTGGGGGAGGGGGGAGCAGCAGCAGTAGACTACTACTACTACTACTACTACTACTACTACTACTATTGATACTTGTGTAACAGTATTCTTCAATGAAAAAATACTCAAGATGATTAATTAATAGCAAATACTGCACAATAAGAGTTTATGCTTCACAAGTGTTTAATTAAATTTATATCTACCATTAGATGCTAACCAATTTCAAGAAATATTACAAAACTACCAGATACCCACTCAGGATTAACTCAAGCATCAGGATTTAATTTATCCAAAATCAGCCAGCCCTACATGGAAGAACTGCATTAATAGGCAAAATGTTTGTTTGAAAGTGTCTTAAAAGCTTTACAGTATTGTGCTTGCAACACTGGAGGGCAGTACAGTAATTCTCTTCCAGCATTCTATGACTGTAATCCCTGTCAGGTCTGTATTCAATGCCATGCCACCTAGGCCTGGTGCTGTCACCTGGTAGGCCAAGTTCAAACCTAAACCTTGCACCCAACCATCCTACTGTGTACCAAACACCAAGTGCCCATTATTCAACCAAATATGTGCTAAAACATTCCTAGATATATCTGGTGGCAATGAAAAAAACTTATCATCTTTTGATATATTTGGTGATAGCAGTGGTTGCAACAGTTGTGTTATGCCAAGAAAGAAAGGGGGAAAAGAAGACTGAAGTCACATGGTACTTCATTGTCCCATCCAAGCAGCACATACCTACCAGCAAGTTATCTTGTTGTCGTGTCTCCTACCCACATCACCAAGAGAGACATATGCAGGATTTATGCCAAAATATGCTTAATTTCCTCAGGAAATTATAGCAGCATTAAGTGGGTCTTCTCAGCCTCCCAAGGTGTCCTTAACCACATGTTCAGCTTCACCTGAAATTTGCTGTCTGCTGCTATAGCTCCACAGCCTCATCACTGCCAATTACAGCATGGCTGAGGTGAGTTTAGTGGTATTTTTAATGAAGGAGTGTTCTCAGTGGTTGGGTTCATCCTGAGCTCCACAAGTGTGGGCATGGTGGTGGCAGATTCTCACCTCGTTATGCCTCCTATGCTGTCACCCCCACAAGAACTTACTCACTCCTTCCATGCTGGCTCCATGAATTCCTCACAAATTTCTGGCCAATGTTATGTAACTGAGTGCCCAAACCACTCACAGCTACATGGATGAGCAAGCCACATGAATGTTCTTGCTACGTATGTGCCTCACCCTACACCTGGTTGAGAGTCTTACCATTATTCTCAAGCTACTGTTGCCCAAGGTGAGTTGTAGTGTTTTTCCTGTGTATGTTACTGCCCCCACGTATTCTGTCATTGGCACAGCCAAGCCTCTAGACACGTGCATCCTAGCACTGCCCCTTAACACCCACTCCTAGTGCAGCCAACATGCTTTCTCCTGCGCTTAAAGACTACACCTATCTTTTCTGAATATAATGTTAACAAAGTGCTTACCAATATTTGTACCGAATATAGTATTTTCCTGAGATTTATTCCATTATTTAGTTTCATCAAATCCTATTCCCCTTCAAATAGCTTTTCTTGTTTGAAATACTTTTTTAGTACCTTAAAAGTTTGAATGTTTCCTCTTCTCTGCTTCTTAAAAAAGCAACTGATTTAGTGCTTTGAATCTCCTTCATTAGGTTTATTTTTAACACTTAACCTGGCCAAGGTATACTGATGTATTGGGTGACTTTTTTTTTATTGTTCTTGGCACCAGGTAACAAATCTCTATTTTTTATAAAATAATGAATGTATATGGTTTTTCTTATTTGTTTCCCAATGCACTGAGGGTTGTCTAAATAAAGCTTTTAAATACTAGATGGGGTAAGAAGAATGGTAAACCACCAGGGGATTTACAGAAACACACGTGCAAGAGAGCATATGTCTTTACAAGTAAACAAGCTGTATAGTGCTAGGCAAACAACTAAGGAAAGGCATTGTTGAGAGAGAATAGTAGCACCTGAGAGTCAATACAGTGGACCCTCAACTTATGATATTAATCCGTTCCAGAGAGCTCATCGTTAGATGAAATTATCGTTAGTTGAATTAATTTTTCCCATAAGAAATAATGGAAATCCAATTAATCTGTTCCATACACCCAAAAGTATGAAAAAAAAAATTTTACCACATGAAATATACATTTTCCTACACAGAGAAAAGGATACATGCACAATATACTGTACTAAATGAAGAATAAATGACACTTACCTTTACTGAAGATGTAGTGATGAGTGATGAGACACTGTTTTTCTTGAACACTCTGGGATTTTCAGAGTGATACATGAGTAAAGGCTTCACTTTGCAATCCCCACTAGCATTACAAGAAAACATGAAAGTTAGCCTGTATTTCATAGGCTTGTGTCCTGGGAGTGCCTTTCCTCCTGAGTAATGTAGGTCCTGTTTGGCATTTTCTTCCAGAACAGGCCTGTTTCATCACAATTAAACACCTGTTGGGGTTGGAATTTTTCAGCTTCATCATGCCTTATCACACTGTGTATGCCAATGTGATTTTTAAATCTCTCAAACCAACCTTTGCTGGCCTTAGATTCACCAATATGAGCACTAGTTCCAGGCATTTTTTCCTGTCCACCTGGATGTTAGTCGACTAGTGTGGGTTGCATCCTGGGGGACAAAATTAAGGACCCCAATGGGAATAAGTTAAACAGTCCTCGATGACGCACTGACTTTCTTGGGTTATCCTGGGTGGCTAACCCTCTGGGGTTAATTGTTTCTCAGTAATTGTTTCTCGTTAAGCCACACCAACAACAGTCTCTCCACATCTTCGAGTAGTACAGCTGACAGTGGTGCAGCAGAAGCTGATGGTGGTGCAGCAGCAGCAGCTGACAGTGGTGCAGCAACAGCTGACGGTGGTGCAGCAACAGCTGACCGTGGAGAGTTCGGCCAGCATTGGTGGAGTGTGGACGTGTCTTCTGAAGGTTCCTCAGTTGTGATGAATGGTTTGAAAAACCGACAAGTTGAAGATTGAGACACTTATGCAACATATGGGAATCTTTTTTCAGGAAACGTTTCACCACACAGTGGCTTCATCAGTCCAATACAAAGTAGAAAGGCGTAAGGAGAGGAGGAGTTTGAGGTAATCAGTCCCTCAGCCTGGAGTCGATGTGTTCAGTCCATTAATCTTGTAGAATGTACAGCATAGGGCTGTAGACGTGGCTTATATACTGTAGTGAGGTGAGGCGAAGCAGGAGGAGGTGGGGTCATAGTAGTATCCATCCACTAGTCGAAGTAGGTCTTCGTCCAAAGGTTGGACAAGTGTGGTAGAATTCTTTGTAACAAGATCCCATGATGCTGCAGTGTCTGACAGTTGTGATGAATGGTTTGAAAAACCGACAAGTTGAAGATTGACACACTTATGCAACATATGGGAATCTTTATTCAGGAAACGTCATGGGATCTTGTTACAAAGAATTCTTCCACACTTGTCCAACCTTTGGACGAAGACCTACTTCGACTAGTGGATGATACCACTATGACCCCACCTCCTCCTGCTTCGCCTCACCTCACTACAGTATATAAGCCACGTCTACGGCCCTATGCTGTACATTCTACAAGATTGATGGACTGAACACATCGACTCCAGGCTGAGGGACTGATTACCTCAAACTCCTCTCCTTACGCCTTTGTACTGGACTGATGAAGCCACTGTGTGGCGAAACGTTTCCTGAATAAAGATTCCCATATGTTGCATAAGTGTCTCAATCTTCAGGTTCCTCAGTTGTTTGTTGGTGGTGTAGGCCCTGTTCAGGCTCTGCTTCACCGTCTTTCTTTTCTTGTGTGCTTGTGTTGTCATTGTTTTCTCCATCAGTTTGGATTCAGGAATAATAAAAGCACGAATGATGCTATCATACACATGCTAGAACTAATACATACCGCACTCGAAAAGAAAGAAGTCCTGCTGGGCATTTTCATTGATTTACGTAAACCTTTCGATACAGTCGACCATGAACTGCTGTACTCCAAATTAACGCACTATGGTATCAGAGGCCACTCCCTCAACTACCTAAAATCATACCTTAGTAACAGAACTCAATATGTGTATGCAAATGATGCACTCTTCCACCCAACCAATCACAGTATGAGTCCCACAAGGAAGCATCCTTGGACCACTCCTCTTTCTCATCTGCATCAATGATCTACCGAATGCATCACAGCTACTCAAACCCATATTATTTGCAGATGACACTACATATGTCTTTTCCCACCCAAACACAGTCATAATAGCAAACACAGTCAATGCCAAATTGCAGAAAATATCTGCCTGGATGATGACTAATAAACTTACCCTAAATACTGATAAAACCTATTTCATTCAGTTTGGAAACAAAGCTGTAAATGATCCGATTAACATAATGCTAAATGGATCATCGGTCACAAGACTCACAGAGGGAAAATTCCTAGGTATCCACCTTGACAGTAGCCTTAAGTTCCGGACACACATACAACAAATCACCAAGAAAATCTCCAAGACTGTAGGCATACTATCAAACATAAGGTACTATGTTTCACAATCAGCTCTCCTGGCACTGTACCATACACTCATATACCCTTATCTTACATATGGAATTTATGCATGGGGATCAACAACATCCATATCACCTAAAACCCCTCATAACCCCAAAAAAGGCAGCAGTAAGAAAGACAACGAATTCCCACTCCCGCCAGCATACTCCACCAATTTTCAAAAGTCTGAATCTGCTCACCATTAAGAACATCCATACTTATTCATGTGCCTACTACATACACAGAACAATACATGCAAATATAAACCCTCCACTCAAACTTCTCATCACCAACTTAAACAGGACACATGACCACAACACAAGACACAGATCTCTCTTTGATATACCTCATGTCCATATCACACTGTAAAAACTCTATGCACATAAAGGGCCCTAAAATAAGGAATTCATTACCAGAAGATATTAAAGTAACCCAGTCTGAAAATCAGTTTAAGACTCTTCTCAAAAGCCACTTAATCACCCTAGACTAAATGCTAAATACTCAGTACACACATACTCACCTATGTACTCTCATATCATAACTTCAACAATCACTTTGAACCTTTTATCCATTGCTGACAGGAATATAATTGAACCATTGTTTTCACAAAGAGCATTTTAGACTATATGAATATATCCTTTATCATATACAAATTTAATTCACTTATAATTAATAATCAACTGTTCAACTAAGAAATAATTACTGTCCTACTATACAACTATGATATAATCCTTAGTGTTAAGTAGTCTGTAAGCCAATAATGTTAAGTTGGCCCATAATGCCTAGGCATAATAGAGGCTCTCTTTGCTTTGCAACCCACTATTGTAAATATAAAATCTCAAAGTATTGTTTGCAAAGACATAAAATAAATAAAATAAATAAATCAGGCTGTGTTGTGTGGCCCATTTATGGGGGGTTCAACCGAGATGTTTCTACTCGGTTGACAACTGTTTCACTACCGTCAGACCAAGATACGGCTAGTGTGCCCCCTACTGGGATAAACAAACGGGTCCTTGAGGTTGATGACAGTCCCAGGCCCCTGTCTAGCCCAAAACACCAACCCACCACTTGTCCAGACTATGCTCCTTCTCCTCACATTACTCCAGACGTGATGGTGGTTCTTGTGCGTCCTAAGGATGGTGGTACACCCTTCACCAATCCACGGGACATCACCAATGCCATCAATGGATCTCCTTTCAGCAAGGCTTGCATAGATGGGGGCGTCCAACAACTCGGTAGGGGTGCAGCCCTAAAGCTCCGGCTCCATCCTAAGTCTTTTCTGGCTAGAAACTTGCCACTAAATGCCATTCATGTCCTGGGTAGGTGGAATGTGTCTGCTGGGAGGTCCGCTCCTCAATCCTCGCTGGCGGTTGTTGTTACGGCAGAATTGGACCGATTTCTGCATCCCTCTCAGATGAGGAGATCCACTCTGAATTGGTTTACAGTGGGGGTGACGACTTAGGTTTGCGGGAGGTTTGGAGCCTCTCGACTCGTCCTACCCCATCTCGTATGGTTCGTGTATGTTTCTCGGGTGCTCTCCCGAAATTTGTGACTTTCGACAATCTAAGGTTTCCTGTTCTTCCTTATACTTTTCCTTTACTCCAGTGTCGGAAATGTTTCCTTTTTGGGCATGGAGAGTTGTCTTGCCGTGGTAAGGTAAGATGTGCGAACTGCAGCAGGTTTCACCCAGTCGTTAAAGACAGCATTACCTGTACCCACCCGGCTTCGTGCTATTTCTGTAAAGGGAACTACAAGGTTACCTCCCGGTCTTGCCCAGCATATCGCCAGGCTCTTGATTTGGCAAACTCAGCCAGGGCCCAGTCTCTTTCGCTCAATGAATGTAACTCCTGCTTGCGGTCCGTAAAGCCAGTCACAGTCCGTCAGCCCCTGCCTCCTTCGCCTCCAGTGCCCCCCACTAAGGGAGTCTCCCCAACACCAACACAGCCAGGGCACCTGTACTCTGCAGCTGTGAGGGCTAATATCCCTGTTACAAATCAGTTTGGGGCTCTTGTGGACCTCTCTCTCCCTTTAGAGGATTCCCCACCCCCAGGGCAACATCAACTCAGGGTGTCCTCGGACACCAGCAATCCTACCATCATATAAAACTCACTTGGCAGTATGGTAGTACCTCCCTGGGCAGTTGCTGTCTACCAACCTATTACCTACAAAATAAACTTTTCCACGGTTTATTACATTTTTTAATGGTATTTTATAATATACAAGTGAGAAGTGATTGCAAGGCACCGTGGATCACACGAGTATGTATAGCCATTCAACCATGTTATGCTGATTTAATATAAAATATATTTCTTGTGCAATTGGTAAAAAAAGACGAAACCTAATGAAACCACCTAACCAAACATAAAATAACCTGATGTAAATTAACCTTATTCCAGCATCAGTAGATATGCGCTTTTGTTTACCCTACGCCAGATGAAAGACATAACTCGATGCTATGTGATGATTGACTGGGATGTGCTGTGCAACCAAAATATCTCCCAAATATCTCCCAAAACAATAATTTGCACAAAAAAATATGTATTCTGTGGTGTATTGCAAAATGTAAACTACTGCCCGAGATTCGCTGAGTAATAGTTGTAAACTACAGTCAAATTTTTTGCTCGATGAATCCATATACACAAAAAGAAAAAAAAAGAGAAGGATATCATACTTAGTATTTCTGCATCATTTTAGTTTCCATACTTGTGTGATATATTCTTGCGGAGAGAAGGAGAAGGAAAGGTGAGTAGAAGCTGCTTGGCGAGAGTTCCAAGCAGGTAAATCAGGCAGAGCAATCAGCTGAGATGATATGGGGTTCATGATCGTGTGAAGAGCAGCTTCCACTGCGTTCTGACACTGGGCCTGAGACTCTGTCATACTGTTCTCCAGGAGTCGACCATCTTCATCTAGGATAAAAGGAAAGTTAATGCATTATGCTGTACAAGAAAAAATGTAACATCTCAAACACTGCTTGTTTATCTTAAATTTACAAACATTACTTGTAAATTGGCACACCCCTACTTGAGATAGTTAAGAAACAGTGAAAGTTCACTAGCAAATTAAAGTTCTCAGTTATATTTAACACAAATGCATTAAGGAAACCAATGTTAAACTAATAAAAAAAACTAAATATAATTTTCAGATTCCATACTAACAAGGACCTTAGTGTAAACTATATGTGTTAAGTATATTTTGGTAATAAAAAAAAACTACTCTCTATTATTTAGGATCACAATCTCTTCCATTATATTAAAAGACAGCACTTACCTATTACTTTTACCATCAATTTTTTTAACTGAGTTACTGCATGGGATGAGAGTAAGAGATCTGGAGTAGCAGTGAAAGGTGTAGCAGCCTCCCACACAAATTTAGCAGCAGCATTAGTAAAGAGAGTCGCCAATGAATGCTCCATGTTATCTACTGCCATAACCAACTCCCCTGGTAACAAACACATACAGGATAAAATTAACCAAATATTCTAAATACATAATTTACCCACTAAAACATACTGACAAACTAAAGCACATGATCTACTGAAAACTGTTACAGTACTAATAACTATTTTAAAGTTGACAAATTATGACTAATTTATTTTTTCATTGACTGACTCAATGAGTTATTTTGCCTACCAAGGGCTTTAGTGATTTAATGATAAAGCTCCTGATGGGCAAAACATCTCTCAAAGATACCCAGGTGTTGCACACGTCTTATTCTCCAACATGTCTTAATACCATAATTAATATATCTTCCAAGGGTATATTTTTCTTACAAAACATGACTTAATACCATAATTAATATATCTTCCAAGGGTATATTTTTCTTACAAAACATGCTAGTGAATATCTGCATGTCTATTGTACTACAGAGCATACAAAGATACAATTTTTAATACTGAAAGTATGTTAAAAAAGAGAATCAAGAAATGGCCAAGCAGCTTTCATAAAAGAAAATCAATATAACAACATATTGGATTATGAACAGGACATAGAAAAAATGGAAAGGAAAAACAATAATGAATAAAATCTTTTCCTGGGGAATAATCATAAGATGATGATGATGATGATGATGATGATGAGTGATGAAAACAACTCATGATGATGCTCACAATACTAATAATAAGCATTTTAACAGACCAGCCATCTCTCACCAAAAGTGTGTTTTCCTGGTTTTTCAGTCGCCTTGCCATGGTCGGAGACAGCCGATGTTAAAAAATTAATAATAATTATTTTTTTTTTTTTTTTCAACAAGTCGGTCGTCTCCCACCGAGGCAGGGTGACCCAAAAAAAGAAAGAAAATCCCCAAAAAGAAAATACTTTCATCATCATTCAACACTTTCACCACACACACACATTATCACTGCTTTTGCAGAGGTGCTCATAATACAACAGTTTAGAAGCATATACGTATAGAGACACACAACATATCCCTCCAAACTGCCAATATCCCAAACCCCTCCTTTAAAGTGCAGGCATTGTACTTCCCATTTCCAGGACTCAAGTCCGACTATATGAAAATAACCGGTTTCCCTGAATCCCTTCACTAAATATTACCCTGCTCACACTCCAACAGATCGTCAGGTCCCAAGTATCATTCGTCTCCATTCACTCCTATCTAAAAACGCTCATGCACACTTGCTGGAAGTCCAAGCCCCTCACCCACAAAACCTCCTTTACCCCCTCTTTCCAACTCTTTCGAGGACGACCCCTACCCCTCTTTCCTTCCCCTATAGATTTATGTGCTTTCCATGTCATTCTACTTTGATCCATTCTCTCTAAATGACCAAACCACCTCAACAACCCCTCTTCTGCCCTCTGACTAATGCTTTTATTAACTCCACACCTTCTCCTAATTTCCACACTCTGAATTTTCTGCATAATATTTACACCACACATTGCCCTTAGACAGGACATCTCCACTGCCTCCAACCGTCTCCTCGCTGCTGCATTTACCACCCAAGCTTCACATCCATATAAGAGTGTTGGTACTACTATACTTTCATACATTCCCTTCTTTGCCTCCATAGATAACATTTTTTGACTCCACATATACCTCAACGCACCACTCACCTTTTTTCCCTCATCAATTCTATGATTAACCTCATCCTTCATAAATCCATCCGCCGACACGTCAACTCCCAAGTATCTGAAAACATTCACTTCTTCCATACTCCTCCTCCCCAATTTGATATCCAATTTTTCTTTATCTAAATCATTTGATACCCTCATTATTACCTATCATTATTATTGCTATTATTATTATAATAGCTTGTGTCTCAAGCTTTGGAGCCAATGCTGCCACAGAATACTTTAATTGTCTCAGCCAGACATAGGTCCACCATCACAAATCCATCAATCAGACATCTGGTTCTATCAGTTACTCGGCACTAATTTCGACTAGCATAATTTCAAATTTCCAGGGTCGCCACACCAACCTACTGGTACTGTTTGGTGGTGTTACCTGCTGGGTAAGTCATTCCAACTTCTTTTTCTCCGTTTATTGTTATAATCTTCTTACTTTTAGCCCCAGCCATGATTCCAACAAATAAAAGAAATGCTTCTCCTTGTGTAAAGCACATACACAGTACAGTGGACCCCCGCATAGCGATATTAATCCGTGCAAGAGAGCTCATTGTTATGCAAAATTATCATTATGCGAATGAATTTTCCCCATAAGAAATAATGGAAATCAAATTAATCCGTGCAAGACACCCCAAAGTATGAAAAAAAAACATTTTTACCACATAAAATATTAATTTTAATACACACAAACTGAAAAAGGCATGCATAATTACATGACACTTACTTTTATTGAAGATCTGGTGATGATTGATGGGATGGGAGGAGGAGTGTGTGTTAGAGTTTAGAAGGGGAATCCCCTTCCATTAAGACTTGAGGTGTCAAGTCCTTTTCTGGGGTTACTTCCCTTCTTCTTTTAATGTCACTAGGACCAGCTTCAGAGTCACTGGAGTTCTGTCGCACAACATATCTGTCCATAGTGGCCTGTACCTCTCGTTCCTTTATGACTTCCCTAAAGTGTTTCACAACATTGTCAGTGTAATAGTCACCAACACGGCTTGCAATAGCTGTGTGAGGGTGATTTTCATCCATAAAGGTTTGCACTTTCAGCCACATTGCACAGATTTCCTTAATCTTTGTAATAGGCAATTTCTTCTATTTCTCTCTCCCCTCCTTCAAACCAGCTTCCTCAGGTCTGGCCTCTTGCTGTTGAAGTTGATCTATCAGCTCATCAGTGGTTAGTTCTTCATTGTCCTCCTCCACCAACTCTTCCACATCATCCCCACTAACCTCCAACCCCAAGGACTTTCCCAATGCCATAATGGATTCCTCAACTGGCATAGGATTCTCAGGGTTAGCCTCAAACCCTTCAAAATCCCTTTTGTCTACACATTCTGGCCACAGTTTCTTCCAAGCAGAGTTCAAGGTCCTCTTAGTCACTCCCTCCCAAGCCTTACCTATAAGGTTTACACAATTGAGGATATTAAAGTGATCTCTCCAAAAGTCTCTTAGAGTCAGTTGAGTTTCTGAGGTCACTACAAAGCACCTTTCAAACAGAGCTTTTGTGTACAGTTTTTTGAAGTTTGCAATAATCTGCTGGTCCATGGGCTGCAGGAGAGGAGTGGTATTAGGAGGCAAAAACTTCACCTTAATGAATTTCATGTCCCCATAAAGTCGCTCTGCCACGTCTGTAGGATGACCAGGGGCATTGTCTAATACCAGGAGGCACTTAAGTTCTAATTTCTTTTCAGTTAGGTAATCTTTCACATTGGGGGCAAATGCATGGTGTAACCAGTCATAGAAAAAGTCCCTAGTGACCCATGCCTTACTGTTTGCCCTCCACAGCACACACAAATTAGCTTTGAGGACATTCTTTTGCCTGAACGGTCTGGGAGTTTCAGAGTGATACACTAATAAAGGCTTCACTTTGCAATCACCAGTAGCATTGGAACACATCAACAGAGTAAGCCTGTCTTTCATAGGCTTATGTCCTGGGAGTGCCTTTTCCTCCTGAGTAATGTACGTCCTGCTTGGCATTTTCTTCCAAAACAGGCCTGTTTCATCACAATTAAACACTTGTTCAGGTTTCAGTCCTTCACCGTCTATGTACTCCTTGAATTCCTGCACATATTTTTCAGCTGCTTTGTGGTCCGAACTGGCAGCCTCACCATGCCTTATCACACTATGTATGCCACTATGCCTCTTAGATCTCTCAAACCAACCTTTGCTGGCCTTAAATTCACTCACATCATCACTAGTTGCAGGCATTTTTTTAATTATATCCTCATGCAACTTCCTAGCCTTTTCACTTATGATCACTTGAGAGATGCTATCTCCTGCTATCTGTTTTTCATTTATCCACACCAATAAGAGTCTCTCAACATCTTCCATCACTTGCGATCTCTGTTTCGAAAACACAGTTAAACCTTTGGCAAGAACAGCTTCCTTGATTGCCTTTTTGTTGCCCACAATAGTAGCGATGGTTGATTGGGGTTTACTATACAACCTGGCCAGCTCGGAGACACGCACTCCACTTTCATACTTATCAATGATCTCTTTCTTCATCTCTATAGTAATTCTCACCCTTATTCCTGTAGGGTTGGCACTAGAAGCTTTCTTGGGGCCCATGGTCACTTATTTTGCAGATAAAATCACCAGAAACACTGTAATAATACGAAATGATCCGATTGTATGCTTGGATGTTACCGCGGAGGCTGGCTGGTAAACAATGCCACCGGCGGAACATGTGAGGCTGGCTAAGGGCGCACATTAGACGCGTCTCGGACGAACAGCATTGAGCGGATTTTTTAGCGGTATGCGAGGCAAAATCTTAGCGATAAAATGTAGCGGTATGCGGATTTAACGTTATGTAAGGCCAACGGTATGCGGGGGTCCACTGTACATTGTCCATAAAAGATGAGGTGACTTTGCAGCCGCTGTCGGTTGCCATGAGCTCAGTCTTGTGATGCAGGGGAATATACTACGCTAATATCAACACTACAGCTTATTGCCTATCACAATTGATCTAATATAACATAAAAACATGTTAAATACTCCAGAATGAATAATATTTGGCATAATACCAAGCAGTTCGACGGAGGTATGAAGAGGATATGGGATACAAATACCATTCTCCTATCCCTGTCTTGGGGCTTATATTAGAGAAAACAGAGTATAGCACAGGGCTGTGACATACATTTGCAGTGCACCATAAAACTGAAACAAACAAGCTATTTGCTCTACACAGATTATCACACACAGCAGCATATGTGTAGAGAACCTAGGATAACCCAAAAAAGTCAGACAAAGTGACTTATTTCTAGTACCTGGCTTGCCATATATGATTTTTGGTAAGTAATTATTTTTCTGAAGTTGTTTGTTGGGTTATCTATTGAAACATGGGCAATGTACACCAAAAATGAA